AGCACTATAATACCTGCGACGATCGCTGCGCCCGCTGTAGCTGTTTTCGAAACGGCCCGACGAACGATTTCGACGTCGACCGTGCGACAATTCCACTCGAGCACGAACGCCACACATGCGTCTTAAATCAGACATTTTGAAGCAAGTTCATTTTTACACATGAATTTTGCATCTTGTTGCAGTTTAACTGCATCAAATCATGATTATAAAGTCATTGCGCAAAATTATAATCTTAAACTATGAAGAAATTAAAGTAAAAAAGTAGCAGGCATGTAACAAGGAATAGCTTAATATCGAAGCATTCCAAATGACTTCTAAACGCAAATGGACTATAACAGTGTATCCACAAACTGAAGTTTCAAAATTTCTAAAGGCACACGGTAAGTTGATCCTGCATAGCCTCGAAGCTCCTTCGTTTGCAACATTCACATACCTGCGTCAACTGGGTGAGCAAGAGTTGTAGGTCAGATAGCAGTGCACATCTGACACCAAGTAATAGACGAATTATAGAATAACAGGATTCACGTTAGCCCTTCTCAAGCTAGAAGAACCCATGTTTTCCTAACTGGAACAATACCATTCACAGCTGGTACTCCAGATTTTTTTGTTTAACACAACAGCGTGGTGCTCTTATGCGCCGACACTGCGGGTGCTAAAATACTATGGAACCGTAGTCGACATTAACGGTACCGTAGGTTACTACAAGGAAGGGAACGCTGCGCTAGGACGATACATTTTTCAGAGTGAAAATGAGCAACCGAACGCGTGAGGGTCAAAAATCCTTGAAGCTTAATAGTTATTAAAAGAGGATTACAGAATAATACAAAACAGAAAGCGTTTCCAATGTCAAAATTAAGCAAAACAAAAATACTGCGCATACGTTCCATCAAGCCCGCGCACAGCATCTTCAGCATCTCGCGAATCTTCAAATTCAACAAACGCAAATCCCCATGGCCGCCGAGCCACCCAAACGTTTCGCAATGGACCGTATCTGCTGAAAATCGCTTCCAACTGAAATGAAGCAAACAATCATAAATTTCGGAAATGATTCGGCTTGAAGGGAGGACAAACTTCATAGGAGCACATACCTGTGTACATCAAAACATCACACGAAACATTCCACAAATTACAATTTTGAAACTATAAAACTTCAATAGCTCGAAAAAGATAATACCATAAAAGTATCTAGACTGCTATCAAATCTACGTCACTGAACAAAGTAAGGTTATTTTAATTACACACTAAAATTAGCCCTTTATTAGCAAGGAGATATTAGCTCGTAGGATACACCAAAGAAATACATTAAACCTTTTTGTATGCATAAGTAAAAAGTAGTATATGAGAGCTAAAGCTGAAATATAGTTTATGCGCCTGCAATTCAGAAATTTTCTCAAAAAAAACGCATAGTTTGTGATTATATTTTTGGCCGCATACAACTGGCTTAACTTTGTTAAAATTCTACCAGAGTAAGCAAGGAATATTCCATCTTCAAAAATCCGTAACAAATAAACAGTAGAATAAGAGCTCACCTCGCTTCTGCTAGCTCTTTCCGGCAGACCGCCAACATAAACCTTACAATCAACGGGGCAACCGTCACGACGAGACATTCTGACCTAGAGATTAAATGTTTTCAACAAGAAGTTTAAACACAACGAAGTTAACGCCGCATCTATGGGATGTTTTCTCAAATATGCGCGAAAGTAACACATTCACGCACAACCCAAAACTTCTACCAGACAGTGCGTTTAAACGAAAACAAGACAGCACAAAAAAACTCAACCTTTATTATATCCCACCATGACAAACCAATAAAGAAGCATACAAAACACGATACGTGCAACACTTCCAAACATCTCAACGCTTTGCCCCTTTATGACAATAGTTTATTGTACCTGCGCATTTCAAATTCTTTAAAATTAACTACAGTACTTATTTCATTTTGTGGCAACATTTGCTCAAAATTCAAAGCTAAATTACAATCACTCAAGAGTTATATACCAACGAATCACCTTAGGGTCTTGCATTTTCGATGAATGATTTCCGTTGTAGCATGGCATAGGTTCAACGGTTGCGGCTTCTCCTTAAACTTGAGCTATTTCAGTTCTGTGCATACGTACATACGCTGTTCACCCTATCAGATGTCAAAGTAACATTTTTTTGTATTATTATGTATATCTATGCATTATTATCTAAAAATGAGCATTCTTCTTCGCTGAGAAAAATTACTTCGGTGGTTTTCATGTTTCTCTCAGACACTAATATTCGATGTCAGATTCATCTTCCTCGCTGCCGCTGCATTAGGAAAGCTTCACCAGGAAAAAACAAAAAATTATTGGAGCGGATCAGTCGAGCGTTACACAACCAAGAAAGTATTTCTACTTCAATAAAAAAGAGCAGTTGACCGGTTCATTTCCGAACGACTACAAACAAATTAAATAATGTTCGAAGCTCAGAGGCTCCACTTTGACGTTGAGCAATAGTAAGTCGTCGGTTGCTTGTGTATTTACGTGCGTTAACTGTTGTTTGATTATTGAAAACATTAACGTTATATAGTCAAGAGCGAGCGCTGCTTTCTGTAGGAGTAAACTGCACATAATGTACTATCACTTGGCGATACGCGCAGTCGCCACGATGGAATTATGAGATAAAACAAAAATCGTCGACATCCAAGGCAGAGCATTGTCCTGACAGAGAGCCTTTTAGCTGGAGTCCATAATGAGGAACGAAGTCAAATGATTAGTGCATATGACCATCTGCCAAAGACATACGTTCAAACTTAGACTGTAAACTGTGCACTGGGATACTGATATCGTAAAGTCATCATGATGAAATTATAACGAAAATTTCACTAGCAAGTTCTGATAACCCAATTTCAGAGCGCATCAATTTGGTAGTGTTGTGGACCACTCTAACCTGGCCTCTACCCTTCACATACAAAGCGTCGTAAAAAACAGAATTGAGTTCATCAAGAGAAATCAAGATAAATCTCCATGAGCTCAGATGTCATTTCACCTAGCCTGTAAGCGGAATTAACTTTGTTGTATTTTTGCCACAGTGAGCGATAAGCCCTAGTTGCATTTTTTTCGTCGAAACAAAGCCAAACATTTTAAAGAGATTGGCGGGATGCAGGAACAACAGACAAAAATGTAGATTAGTTATGAAATAGGCTTGAGGTTTAACCGATGCGCAATGCATCAGGGCTAGGGAATGCAGTTATTTGACCAGTAGCAATGTTCGCTGCTTGAGAAGAAATGGATATCCAGCTAACAGTCTTCTGGGGGTGGTAAATGCATATCGCCTTTAATAAAAGTATGCCCAACTGTTATCAATCCAAAAGTGCTGGTTTTCTGCACACGAATCTGTGTATGATGGTACTGCTAGATACTCAATACGTACAAACCAAACTATGGATGCTTTTCACACTTTGCCATTTCAATGAACGCACGTTTAAATCGCGAAATTCGATACAAGACTAGATGAACAGATGTGATCATTGTTTTGCGACGCTAAAAGAAGATGGAGCGACCATGTGGCTCCTACAAAAGACAGACGATTGAAGAAAACCCTGCATAGTTCTACTTTACCATGAAGTCCCCTCAATCATCCTGGAAGACATTGGGATGATTCGAAGTTAAATTTCTTTACCAGCGATTGGTGCAGAAACCGGCGGACAGAGAATGATGGAGTAACATCAACCTACGTTCATGGCGCACTCATAAGGAAGACAAAAGAAATGAAATTTACTTAAGTGAACTCTAAGGCCCGCGATAAGTTACCAAAATCATCGATAAAGCAACGAACAAGAACTAAACAAAACAACTAGCAGTGAAAATGGATCGATGTCAGGATGACTAAACTGTGATTCACAACGAGATTTCTACTTTTTCGAGATTGTTCAGGTAACGGAATAACCGACCTTCAGAATATCACAGATCGTTGCTTAACAGAAGTGTACCAAAACTTATGGTTTGCCACACCATTAGTTGTTGTTGGAAAAGCGAGTAATCTGAATCGCCTATAATAAAAGTGCCCCGCTTTTAGTCAGCTAAGTACTTTAAAAAGTTTCAGCAATGAACTAGTAGTTTTCTCTGAATATTGCATGATGCAGATCAATGTAGAGTATAAAGAGTGGCAGAATACAGGATTTTGTGGCTTTTCAGCACTTCTGGACAATTACATCCCTCCTCCGCAACGCAAACGAAACCGAGAGCTGAATTCACTATCCATTGCATTCATCTATTATTCCCAGCAAAGGCTTTCCTCCATAGTCAACCCCAGGTATTAGTCAAATGTTTAAGACAAGTTGCTGAGGAACTCTGTAGTTGGTACAGCAGGCATTGCACCTTGCTTGATGGAAACTACAGATGTCAATCTTTAGAATTAGCGTTAGGGAAACATTGTTTGTTTATCCAGTCGAACAACAGAATTACTAATTTAAAGTTATAATTTCACAACGCTCAAGAAAATGCTAGCACTTAAGTATAGTTAATTTGTTTTTACGTTTGTGTTGCGGATAAAGTTTGCACGTTTCTCTGAAATTCGCAATTACTGATTTGCAATTTAATTTATTCATAGATTTATTCTGCATGTATGTGACAGAAATATTGTGTGGCCTACGTGAAACTCAATTTTCACTTTCAAACTTACAGACGGTGCAAACTAGTTTTGCACCGGATATTGGAAAACTTATTCTTTTTCTTTGATCTGGCCATGCCAATGATATCCATTGGGCTGAAGAGTTGACATCGGTTCAGCAAAAATGAAGCATTCACAATGCAAAATAAATTCTAGAAAGAATTTACACTGAGTGAACCTAATGCAACAAAAAGAGGAACAGGAAAGAAAGAACTACGAACTTAGGGTGAATGTTTTTCAACTAAAAGATTCTGTTATAAACTACTGGCACGAATTCATCGATCACGCCTTGTCTTCCCCCAAAACATCCCAAGGCACAGACACAAGGGTACACATCACGTGCTGGCCGTTAAGCGACTTTACTGCTAACCAATAATCAAGCCAATGCCGAATCTGGACACATTTTTCGAGTGATTAATCATGCCACTGAGAGCGAGCGTGAAAGGTAGAGGAAAAAGCTTTTTTTCTAAAACGGCACCGACGGTGAACGAGGAATCGACCTGGGCTAAAAAATAATCAGTTATGTGGGCCCAACAAAAATCGACCTTGAGGCACTCACCCCTGAACACGGCGTTAGCCTTAGGTATGTCGATTTGGTAGCCAATGGCGGCGAGACTTTCCTGCAGCCGGAAGTTAGTTTCCATCTCCACGCCAAACTGCAGATTCTCCTGCTGCTTGTGATAATAGCTGAGGTGAACACTACTGCTGCTGAGAAGAGTACTTAGCGTAAAATTCGAACCTAAACAGATAAATACGATTAACTATATGTTAAGCACATGAAGTTCATTTTGAGTCACAAAACTCAAAAACAAATCTACCAAATGATTGAGTCGTTTTCAATACCCAGCTTAATCCCGGCATCGAATAATCCATAGTCCTTTAAGCAAATAAGCACCTTCAGGTAA